TCGATTTTGCTTGAGACACGGATTTCGCTCGTTTCTCGTGTGTTGTAAGACATTCATATACCTATACTTAAACCACAATCAGTTTGATCGGATCTCTTTATTTTTCAGAGTTTTACGGAAATTAAATTTCACTCGAGCGAAGGCTTGTCGTGACACTTTTCAAGACTTTAATTTCATACAACTTTGGAGGACAATTTACAAAAAACTACGGAACTCAGCAAAAAACAAATACCACAGGCATGTATATTAACTCTATCTTATCTATCGAGGCGACTTTCGTAAACATCACGAGTCAATCAAGGAAACAGGAAGATTCAAATGACACCTTATCGGTTCGCCTAAATCCCACACGCCAAAACCGATCAAATTCAAGGTAAATTTTTGAAAAAGTGAGGCGTTCTTAACTGATCCAACTAACATAGCTAGGAAGTAGGTGCCATAGAAATGGTAACTACAGAAAAATACTTTGCGGCCCGACCTTTACGAGAACTTTATAACTCCGTGAACTTACCTAATTTTCGGCAATCTCCAAGTTTGGCCGCCATTTTGAGGGACTTGTCAACATGAATCGTAACCGATATAAATCAAGCAGGTAGATCTAAAACCGTCAGAAATACATACGAAAGCAATTCACATGAACCTTACTTTTAATTCAAGCCGCAAAATTTGAAATTGTTCGTTAAACTTTCAATCCCCATGCGACCATTTCTTTCAACAATTCAAACACTACAACTAGTGTTCGAATTCCCCTCGTCGATTCCACCGCAAGAAATAACCTGTGCCACCCAAGCTTCGACTCGAATGTGAAGTACGAATCAAGTAACATAGATGTTGCTCCATCTTCGCGGCAATATCACGCTGGTATTTTGATTTTCCGATCGACAAGAACGGTGATCAGGAATCGATCGGTTTGTTTACCTCATAAACGTGACCGCCGACCAGCCGCTAAGTGAAAACAGCATAGCGCGGGGTGGGGTGGGTGGCGGGCTTATCGTCATAAGATATTCGAATACATGCTCAAAAAGCTTTAGGACTATCAGTCTAAACGGTGAAGGCATGCTTCGTGGTACAGACAACTTTTATTTTATTCTCATAACTTTCTCCTTTAAATTAGAACCGGTATTAATTAATAGAGTTATCAATATATTTTTAACCGGGTACCTATATAACCTTTTTGCTTGTCATCAGTAGTATAAAATAAGGTGTCTTTTACACCAGAACCTTTTATTTATGCCCCATTGCACGGAATGAACACTATACTTAGAATGTTTGTTCTAAGTAATTTTTTCTGTTCCCAAGAATGTATGCAAAGTGATAGAGATTTGATTCGTTCCGCTGACACGTTCTTTTAAGTTATGGCGCGTGCAGGTTTTTTCTATCAAAAGTCGCGCATGCAACACATCGGAATTGCAAATTCGTCGTAAAATCGCACGAACCTTAGAATGAGTGTAGGCAACTTTGACTTCTGGCGAGATTAAGTGGATTGTTCAAAAGACCCCTTAATATTTTTTTCAGGACTATAACTGAGATTTGTTAATAACTATGATAATCGTCATCATTAGCGGACGGTGCTTTTTGCCCATTGTTGTCATCATTATCGTTATCACGCCGGGAGAAGTATAAAGCCGGCATGTCGCCTTATCTAGCTACACAGAAAATTGTTCTCTCTTTTGCTCCCCTTGGATCCTGGAAACTGTTACTATTAAGACGATCAACAAGAAAGCCTTTATAATTATTGAAACTTTTGATTAACAGAATGTAAGAAAAAATCGGTGGGAAGAGTTTTTCGCGTATCTTATAATCTGAACGATAGTTTTAAATAAAACAAATAACACTTAATTCAATTTACCTTAGTTGTCTCGTGTTTAAAAGTGGCGTTTCTGGGGACCGTAGATTCTTCTCTGATTCTTCTTGTCTTAGCCAAGACTCACTATCATCAACTTTTTTCTTGTGCTTCTTACGGTATGGGACACAGAGAGCTGAGGTAAGTGATTGCAAATTTCTCAGTTAAAGTAAAGCCCAGTAGCATCCATCAGGAATTAAAAACCGACATGCACTGTTTACTTTTATTATTCTTAATCAAATAAGGGGTGTTTTAGTCTGCAAATTTAATCATACTGGTTAATGAGAATCATACAAACTGAGGAAAACTGACCGCAAATAATCGTGAACCGTACGCACGAGTAAGTATAATGCGTTGTCAGGTGATTTGATCTTCTACAAAAACATTATTGATTGTCAACCGAGCAACATTGTACATATTTCCATCTGTAATTAAAAGCACTTACACATAGATCTGGTTTTTTTCAACGTGATGTGTACTTAAGTACCCTTCATCTAATAAAGAATTTCTTCTCTTTACGAGCAGATATGTCACGTGACAAAAATAGATAAAAGAAAATGTTACTGAAGACTACCTGATTCAACTGGAATAATAACTCCAAACAGCTTTTGAATGTCCTGAGAAATATGCAAGGTAATTACATCTCTGCCTTGGATACGCTTCCTGACACCATCATGATCAGGATACTGACATGTTACCTTTGCACTTCTCCAAAACTTCCCCAGAGTGTGGCGATGCCTATAGCAAATCCACACTTTTTTGTTTATCCTCCTGAGCGTGGTGAAATAGGCCAATCTTTGCCAAGATTAGCTCATTTTCACTTAAAAACCTCTTTAGACAGGTAGCAGCTTATCAAATGATGTTTTACTTCGTCATTGCAATCAGACAGTCGTACCAAACCACTTAAGCCACACGATGAACCAAAGTTTTTTCCATCTTTGCTATTCAAAAAGGAGTCCTGAGACATAATGAACGTCTCGCTAATGAACGACTTCTTCCCGTACTTGTAATTGTTTCCAACGCGATACAAGTTCGGGAGATCTAAAGGAACTCACTATAACTTTCTATATTCGATACGAATTCAATTTCCGCGTCAAAGGAGAAGCCTATTGTAATTCGTGAGTGGTCAGTGGTTACGCTCGTAAGGTAAAGAATGGGTTTGTGACTTTCTCACTCAATTGAAAGACTCGCGTCACTCTTATGAAATGGTTGAACGGAATACAGAATTCGAGCAGTCTCTAATTTTTCTTAAAGATAGTGAGGTCACGCGTATCCTGTGAGCATGGAGAAGCCGCGAGACGCGAGATTCGTATCTCGCGTCTTTGCCGCTCCACGCTCTCAGAGTTGGGCAAAGACAAGAAACGTTAAATAAAATAAAAAAAAGTCTGCAACACGAAGCATGCCTTCTCATTAAGACTGAGAATCCTAATGTTTATCATGATACTTTAATGCATATGTGCACCCCTCACCCCGCCCCTCGCCACTGAACCGTACTGTTTTCACTAAGCAGATGGTCAACAGTCACGTTTATGAGGTAAACAAACCGATCGATTCCTGATCACCGTTCTTGTCGATCGGAAAATCAAAATACCAGCGTGATATTGCCGCGAAGATGAAGCAGTTATGTTATTTGATTCGTATTTCACATTCGAGCCGAAGCTTGGGTGGCACAGGTTATTTCTTGCGGTGGAATCGACGAGGGGAATTCAGAAAGTTGTAGTGTTTGAATTGTTGGAATAAATGGTCGCATGGGGATGGTAAGTTTAACGAACAATTTCAAATTTTGCGGCTTGAATTAAAAGTAAGGTTCATGTGAATTGCTTTCGTATGTATTTCTGACGGTTTTAGATCTACCTGCTTGATTTATATTGGTTACGCTTCATGTTGACAAGTCCCTCAAAATGGCGGCTAAACTTGGAGATTGCCGAAAATTTGGTAAGTTCACGGAGTTATGAAGTTCTCGCAAAGGTCGGGCCGCAAAGTTTTTTTCTGTAGTTACCTTTTCTATAGCACCTACTTCCTAGCTATGTTAGTTGGATCAGTTAAGAACGCCTCACTTTTTCAAAAATTTACCTTGAATTTGATCGGTTTTGGCGTGTGGGATTTAGGCGAACCGATAAGGTGTCATTCGAATCTTCCTGTTTCCTTGATTGACTCGTGATGTTTACGAAAGTCGCCTCGATAAATAAGATAGAGTCAATATATATGCCTGTGGTATTTGTTTTTTGCTGAGTTCCGTAGTTTTTTGTAAATTGTCCTCCAAAGTTGTATGAAATTAGAGTCTTGAAAAGTGTCACGACAAGCCTTCGCTCGAGTGAAATTTAATTTCCGTAAAACTCTGAAAAATAAAGAGATCCGATCAAACTGATTGTGGTTTAAGTATAGGTATATGAATGTCTTACAACACACGAGAAACGAGCGAAATCCGTGTCTCAAGCAAAATCCATCGGACCGCTCTTACAGAGACACTCTCTTAATTGTTGTATATTCTGGCAATATTAAACTGAGGACCAATAATATCACTATGGATCCAAAATAAAACCTGGACATAATTTTTTTTTTTTTTTTTGCCTTGGTCAAATGAAAATTTTTGAACAAAATAAAAAGGAGGAAAAGAGTTAGTTACCTATATTACGAGGTGAAATAAGGGCCTTTATGAACATATGCTCTCCTTTCGGAGCAAATTCTTACTGAAGAGTAAATCCACCGTTTGAAGCTACAGATATTAAATTAAACAACTGTAAAAAGGAACACGAAGCATCAAGCTTTATGCTCATAAAATTTGTATTCAGTAACATGAAGCATCAAACATGTATGTTCATATTTTCTTGAGCATAGTTAAAAGGAAGTCTAAATATTGAGCAATAGTTTCTTCAAAAACGAAATTTAAGGCGTGGGATGTTTTTCGTTCCTTCTACTAAGCTTCCGCGTGGCCGTAAAAGAGATCCTTGAACTTCTGTTTAAGCAGCTATCTAAAATTAAATTGTTGAGTGCATTGTACTAAAATAGCTGTTTAGCACTGACGAAGTATTCTCTTCCTTAAAATGGGTTAACATCGGGGAGTATAAATTCAGTTGGCTGCAGCAGTTCTGCCATCATAACTTAGCACTCATTACTTTCAGAAGTTGAAGTCTAAGGTGAATTCAACATTCGAACAATGCCACGTTCTCTCCAGATTCTTTTGCTCCTGGCGTTGGCTTCTAGGAATCAGATATTGAGTCGTCCAATCACATCATTTGCGGGTGAGTACTTCGTTATTTCTCTTTCCTTGCATAAAAGTTATATTTCCCATAGAGCAGTACCTACATGGAACTACTTTTCTCTATAAAACTTTCCATGAGACTTGGCTTTGACTGTATCAGTTAATTTTTTTGACTTATCACATTTTTTTACAGCTAATTGTGCTGAGCTTTACAAGGCTGGAAATAAAACTAGCGGTGTCTACACGATTTATCCTGATGGTTTAAGTGCCTTTGATGTGTACTGTGACCAGAGCACAGGTGGAGGAGGGTGGACAGTCATCCAGAAGAGAATGGACGGCTCTGTAAATTTTGATCTTAGCTGGTGTGACTACAAGCATGGCTTCAGTAACTTGAGTGGCGAGTTTTGGTTAGGACTGGACAAAATAAACCGCCTCACTTGGAGAACAAAGAACAGGCTTAGAGTAGATTTGGAATTTAACCTCACCCTGGGCATTCAACGAATTTTTGCAGAGTACAACTTGTTCGTAGTTGAACCGGAATTAAAAGATTATGCCTTAACTATTGGAAGTGTTTTAACAGGTATTCACATCTGTTGGGTGATGATTAATTTCATTCATACAAAGTCTGAAAAAATGAATCAATTTACCAACTGGATATTTACGCTTAGAAAATTAGCTTTATACTGAAAGCGATGGCAGTCGAATTACAATGAAATCTGAATAATTTCGCAGTGTTTCGAAGCAGTTTTGCTTACGTTGTACGCGAACCGTGTCAATTTGGCTCATTAAATTGACTGAACAACAAATAAAGTCGTTATTTTGTCTTCAAAAATGAACTGTGATACGAGCATCTCTTCAGCTGACAGAAATTGAGCTTTTAATAAATGCCGTTATTATTCTGTTGATTTTTTACATTATTTTTTTCTTTTCTTCTCGCTCTGTAGGAAACGCAAGTGATTCTTTCGATTACAACCGCAACGCTTCGTTTTTTACAATGGAAAAAGACACGCTGGACGGTTGTGCTAAGAAATATGGAGCTTGGTGGTATCCCAATAGCAAAACTTGTGGTAACTCCAACCTTAACGGTCAATACAAACAAATAGACGGTTTAAGATGGGCACGCTGGAGTCAATATAGGCCTCGTGAGCCCCAGTATATAGCCACCAAAGCCGAAATGAAGATCAAGCCGGATTGCTTAGGATAATTTTTTTTCTCTTTATGTGTATATGTGTATTCCTATATGTCTGTAAATAAAATTTGAGAATCAAATTTATCTGCCATATGAGGGGAGATTTTTTTGTAACTCGTTAGAAGCGTGAGGTGTAATGATTGAGTTAGTATATGTAATGGCAACAGGACTCAGTGGAGTCCAAGAATAGCCAGGTTATCAAAGAAAGGGAAAATTTGCATGAAAAGACTAAGTCTGTACACTGTGATTGAAACAAAGGCTGGGATTGGTTGATTTAAACTAAAACTTTGAATATGATTGGCTCATCCAAGTGAACTGTCCGATAAAAACTTAGCGAATGAATAAGGGGGTATATATAAGTTTTTCGAAACCAATCAAAATCAAGGAAATTGTAATTGTTTGATTAGTACTGATTCATTGGATAACGTTGAAAGCACGCCCTGATTGACTGCTCGAACTACAAATGTCTTTTGCCCCCCACCTCCGAGAAACTCGCTTGGGATTCGCAGCTCGATAAATATCCATCACTAGCCACCGACGGAGATGAATAGTTTTAATTTATGAAATAAGTAAGCGAGAGGCAAAACGGGAAAATATTTCAGACCAAGGGAATGCAGCCCTGCTGAATTAAAAGAGAAACGAAAAAATGCTGTATTCGTTCAAAATATCGTAATGCTCTTGCCAGTGAATATGCAAGCAAAGTAGATCTTATTAAGGAATAGCAATATCCAAAAAAAAAAAAAATTGGGGGGAGCCTTACAATATTCTGAGATGTAGAGAATAATACATGGACGCGCGTAGATATGGAATTGCTCTTCGACTTGAACACGAGAAGAGAAACTGCATATCTACAAGCAACCAGGCATTATTTTGTTTATCATATAAACACAATAGCCCTTTAGTGACAAGAAAAGCCGACTTCATGAATGAATGAAAATAAAAGAATCCACAATCCTCGAATAACAGATCGTTGATAGCGTTGGCGCTGACTCTTAAGATGGAAAAATGCGTGGAATCATGATTACAAAAACAGCAATGGTCGTAATTTTCAATTTACAAAATTCTCATTTACTGACTTTGTCCTTGCCGACAGAAGAAGTCTTTCAGGTAAACGGCAAAAATTGGCCAGTGGCAAATCTTCCAGTTGTCGATTTTCGTTCTCAGCCGAGAGAAATACTGACACCAAAGCCACTAAATACGTAACTTTCGGTTTTTCTTTTAGTATATTGGTTTTCTTCCCCTTCAAGGAAAGTTTGAACCTTACTGTCTGTCAGCAATAGGGAATTTTCAGTGTTTTAGCCGCCATAATTCGAGGATTCTCAAGACAAACAACTTGTATTGAGAATCGTGAAGGCTTTGCCGTTCATTCATCAACCTGATCGAGCGGACGCCAAAGGCGATTGACTTGTCAGCAGCCGATTAGCTATATCAACAGACGTGAAAAAATACGATATTTTTTCGCGTGTGTTGTTACGGCTTTTCTCAGGGCCGAAAATCCCAGTATAACACCGCGGTTTATGAGATAAAATTAGGTTATTAAAAAGTGAGGACAAATAAAATTTTCCTGTCAATTTCATTTGATTCAGTCTCGTCCATGTTTCTGAGGGAAGCTGAAGCGCTCCTTTTTATTGGGAGGGAAATTATTATGGGTAATCCTGAACGAGCGAACAAGTTCAATGTTGCAGTGGACTGGCTGCGCTACGATGTTTTTTAATTTTGTCGCAACATTTTTACTATTGCAGCGGGCTCGCTATTGGCGTTACCTTGTCACTTTTTTTGCTCAGTAACTGTGAAAATTATTGGATGCCATCGTGTATTGTAGATCTGAACTTACAAAGGTTTTAATAGACCACATGAAATGCCACCCAAGGAGACGTATAAACACAAATCATTTTAAAGTTTAATTAGTGCACACCTCTTAATGACAAGGTTTCTTTTCTTTTTCGAAAACTATAGTCTGGCCTTATGAAGAGGTGGATTGGCGGGGCCAAAGTGCAATACATGAATGCGCACGCTCGGAGCGTGAGAAGGAGTGTGATGCGCGAAACAAAGAAAATCCGCCTTTAGTCACATCATTGTTTATGCTCTTCCAACCGTTTGCTTGGCGAACGGTCTTCGGAATTAGTTGCTTTAGGTCACGTGACATCGTGTTTTGTGACCCATTCTTCTTAAATTTCCATGTCAATTATTTCAACGGTAGCGTGACTACAGGCGATTTATGGTCAATCGCAAGATCCCCTCATTATTCGCAATGATAGCATGAAGCCAGATCTTCACAAACTCGTTTTGTCCATCTTTAGATTAGCTCTCCGGAACACAACTGATTTTAAAGTAGCCTGAGTACCTAGATCCCTTAACGAGCACGCGGTTGTCATTAGCAGGTTCATTGATTGCGATGACTAGGGGGTTTCCTTACATTTTTATCACTCAGGTGGATGGTATCTGGGGTCCCCATTCTGTTGATCGGTTTGCAAATTCCCACAACTTTAAACTAAGCACTAGGTTCTATTCGCGCTATTGGAATCTGGTTGCGAAGGAGTCAATGCCTTTTGCTTTTGCTGGGTTGGGTAAACTAATTGGCCAGTACTAGCTGTGTCCATAATTGATTTCTCGGGTTGTTAGGCATTTTGCAAATGGTAAAGCTGCGGGTACTCTTATCGTACCCGAATGGGTTTCGTCCCCGTTCTGGTCCATGCTCTTCCTGTCTGAGCCTCCTTACCATTCCCTTACCGAGGGCGTTATTACTTTCACTGACGTTACCGGAATTTTTACGACGACGGGAGTGTTGATTCGATACCGAGAGTATCGTGCGAGGAAAGAGGTACTCCCACTCCATTAGAAGTCGTATATAAAAATCCCATCTTTGATCATGTGTTAACATTACAACGTAACTAACTTATGAATAATGATCACCTTTGTCCATTATTTTATTTCATTTTATTTTTCAATTATTATTCTTATTATTCAATTATTATTTCAATTATTTCATTTATTTTATTTTATTTTATTTTATTTGCTCACTTGCGAGAGCTGCGTTGCTGAATGAGATAAGGAGATTTTGCGTCCTTTCTTTCCCAGGGAGTGTTTCCTTAGCTTTAGGCTTAGCTTATCAACTCAGGGCGGAGTTAAAAAACAAAGGCATCGCAAGTTATTGTTTGTGCTTTCGTTTCCTTTCGCGACTTTCAACGCTGACTATTCAAAATGTTAAAGCCCACCAAAAGCCGTGTGCAACTTTAATTTCTGCCCAAGGCAATCATATGCCTAAATCTGGACCAAGGGACCCTTTTGACCGTTCAAACTTCATTTGTTTATCCCATACGTTGACGATTTTAGGTTTTCATAACAACTGAATGGAGAATAGTTCCCGAATGGTCCTAAAACGTTGCATAAACGTGATCTGTCGTGACGCTTGCGTGACTTACATAGTGAACAAAAGTGGTGGGAAGGCGCCTCCAAAATAATTTTCGTTGAATCAGGTCACGAGCCACGCACAGTATGGAAAAAGATCAAAATTAAAGATTTTTATATTCGACATACTGCGTAGTTCAAAGGGACACACAAACAAGTTAAAATACGTTACAGTGTTATTTACGAAACAACACGCATGCATTCTGGAAGAATTCTTGCAGTTTCTTCCTAGATTTTTCATACGAAACTGGCCCTCCGTTCTGCAAATTTCTTTCCATCATAAATTAATTTATGCAGTTATGGACTCGCACAACAGTCTTGAGCGACAAGCAAGTACTTCAATTGACTCGATACGTTGTCCTGGCATTTCAGGAAAGAAATTAGGGCTGCAATAACCGCAGCCCCCACAATCGCTGCTTTCCATAAAACAAATAAATATTTTAAAAAGATATAATTCTCAGTAAAATGTAGAATTCTTCAATCCATTTGATAACTTCGTTTTATTAGCTGGTGTTTGGTCTCACTTTTTGTACTCGGCAAAGAGGTCATATGTCAAGGGAAATTAGCATAATCACGCCACGCAATTTGTCTAATTGGTTTGGATGGTCGCAGGGAAATTTTAGTTTGTTATGACCAGAGTGTCAAATTTTATTCTTCAACTTTGATCTTCTCCACACTATGGCTGGTTCGTGGCCTGATTCAACGAAAATTATCGAGAAGGTGCAACGTTTTAGGACCATTCTTTTTGTCGATATCTAACCTACCAAAGGTATATGCTAACTTTTACAGTACTCCCTAATGTGCATGCTGGTAGGCTACTTTCTCACGTCGTCGAGTTCCCATCAATTTGTAGCAGCAGATTTGTTCCTGATAGACGACTTTTCTATCGTCAAAGACAATTCTTGTCATCACCGGATTGGTTCATGGTGGTAGCCTTGAAAGCTTTTTGAGGTGCAAGGATTACGGAAGTAACGAATATGCGAATGTGCACTGTAAGCTGAATGACCAACAGCTGCTGAAAATTGCTCTACAGGTGGCCTTGGGAATGAAACATTTGGAAGAGCAGAAGGTTAGCCTAAACTTTTCCTAGCAAAGCTCTTTATTTTAGCAACTAATATTCAACCAAACGGATGGAAAATCCTCAGGTTAATGTAGTGACTTGTTGGCTTGTTCATTCCAGTTTATACAAGTTAATGTTACAAGATCATGCACCATTTTCACTGGGCCAAGTTCCATGGAGATGGTCGTCTTTAGAATCTCTGCTAGATCGAGTTTATACATCCAAGAGCAATGTGTAAGTGACGCAAAAATTAGGATATGAAGGCTAACTTGGGGGGCGGGGAGAGTGGGTGGTTGACTACCCATATGCTTTTGGCCGCTGAGATTTTCGCCATCCCATTCTCCCTCACGTTATTATACCCCCGATGCAAACGTAGAATATCTTGTAACGAGAGTGATTTAGGATTGTTCCAAGCCAGGTTTGATCGCATTGTCTGAAAAGCAATAGTCAAAAAATATGTAGTGTTCGGTGCCAAAGAATGATAATTAATGACTCTCAGACACTTTCAACTATAATTGTTGGTTGTTGGTTTTTTTTTTTAATTTTT